TCACCACTCACACAATAGTTCTCCAATGAGCTAAGAAAGTACATGCGACCAACGTGATGGGTCTCTTGTGAGCATGAAAAAGAAGATTACAACGAGCATGTCATGCTCTCTACCATCAAAACATCAAGCTTTTGATAAATATGAGCTTCTATGAGCTACTATAGGAAGCTCGTTATGCCAGAAGTGACAAATGATCCATAGAGACACTTAAAAGCAACAATAGTCCACTTATTTGTAATGGTTGGTGAATCATGAATGCATATTACTTACTCGAGAATGATGCTAATGAGGCTTATATTGCATGATGGCATGAATTCATGTTGCTTACTCGAGAATGATGTTAATGAGATTTGCATTGCATGATGGCTTGCTTGCAAGAAGCAACGAGTCAAGTGTAAGAAAAGCCTCAATGTGGCAAAAAATCAGCTTGCTTGCATTACTTACATTTAAAATGACACTTTCTTGCAATAAGGCATGCATTACATGACAGCTTGCTTACAAAACACTATGATTCACTTGTAAAAAAAAAAGCAAAGAATTAGTAGTAAACAATTATGGGCCATTTATAAGTTGAGACAGTAAACTTGCAGAGCCAGACTATCACACCAAATATCAACTTACTTTCCACACACACACACACACTACACATTTTGTCTACCAACAAAAATATACTCATGTAGGATGATTATTGAAGAAATTGATGGCTTGTAGAAGACCAAAATAGTATTTATGATGTATGAAAAGTGAAGTTCAAAATGATGTTAAAATAATGCCACTGAATTTACAAAATTTATACAAGTAAATAGAAGGCATTCATAGGCCCCTCAATGAAGCTCGTTCATCTTTCAAATGATTTCTACTTGCCAATAAGAGTTTTGTGATGTACAACAACTTACATAAAATAAGTAGAGGACAACCTATAGCACAACGCCTCACTATCAGATCTGTAACACTCATACAAGCAAACAAAAGACAGCTTTAAGCTTCTAAATAGAATAACACACACATTGAAATGACCATCATTCATATAACTGACTAGTGTCAAATACTTTAAAATGCTCTCCCATATGCATTTTAACAGGCAGAATAAATCATTCGAGCATGTCATTCGATCGTAGTGGTATATCACATTAATATGCAAATACACAACACACATATACATACATGCATGCAAATACACAAGTGGATACATTAGTTTTTTAACATGTAGATGAAAGTGTAAATATGTATGTGAACATGTAGATATATTATATTCATCCATTATATTGCATACATACAATCATTATACAAGTGCATCATACAAAATACATGCATAGAAATATACCCATATGGGTCCCAACAAGCATGATGTATGTACACACGTAACATCTGAGTATGTTGCTAGGGTCAAAAAATGAACTTAAGATTGAGTCTGATCCTTCTACATGTATAGATAGGAGTCGATACAGCTCAAACTATTAAACAAATATATGATTGTAGTGTTGATCGAGATATTTTTTTATACATTCAGATTAGACATTCAAGGCCTATTACAAGGAAAAATTATTAATAAAGGCATGAAGCTGACAATAAACCTGATCATCTATCGACAAGTAAATAGAGTCGATAAGGTTTGACCAACAAAATGAAATTGCCCATAAGCACCCTAATAATGGTCGTGTTGACTAAAAATATCAAAAAAATAAAATTGCCCATAAGCACCCTAATGTTATCCCATAAGCACCCTAATAGAGTCGACAAGGTTTGACCCAAAATCCTATAAAATATAAGCATCTAAATTAACTTTAAATTCACTTTAATTATGGTCACTTTGAATATAAATCTCAACTAGAGAGTTTAACTTTCAAAGATCTATCAAAAACCCAGAATCCTACACCCATTGATAAATTTAATATTTAAAATTAAAAATGAAACATCTAAACACTTAAAGCCTAATACCCATCCACCCTTCGTAACAATATGTCGAGGTGGATGAGTTTGAAAATTACTTCAGCTCACGAAGAGGGAATGTCTAGTCGAGAATATCATTAGGATTCATTCTCAATCTACATCGTTTTCAGTAAAGATGGTTCATGTGTCCTCTAATTAGTGGTTTTGTTGTCAAATAAAACCAAAGGTAAAAAGTCATGACCTAGACCCTCTGATAGGTGGTTATGCTACCAAATGGCACCATTAATTACAGTTATGGTCAGAGCCCATATGTTCCCCAATGATGTTAAATCATTAAGCTATGAATCAATAAAAACAGATCGATATAAAATAAAGCCCTCTGTTCGCAAAGGTGGATTCAAATTTGTCCCTTTAGACAAGCATTCACCCCATATCTACATGGTACCCTTGGAATAAGCAACCCATGATTTCCAATAAGGATCATTCTGTTAGGTTGGATTGACTACCTCCTTTAACTAAGTAAACCAGAGATCATGATGACCCATGACGACGGAACTATGAGATCTTGATCGTGTTCATCATCATTCTCAAAACCATCCGCTTTAAGTGTAAGGCAATAACTTTCTAATTTTAAATATTACATTTTCAAATACCAAATCATGCCACTAATATGCACCGGATACTATGTATTTATTTGATGACTAGCCTTAATCAAAAGTTCTCTCTCATTATAGGGAGGCATAATTAACTATAGGCGCTTGCACCTTCCAAAAACCTAAACTAAGATCATAAAGTCCTCACAAAATGAGGGTAAAATTTTTGGGTAATATCTTATTCAAAACCTAATCTTCCTTTTGAAAATTTACGTGGAAACATTAACATTAAACCCTCCTCGACGACCCGAAAAAGAAGAAGAAGAAAGGGGAAGAAAAGTGGTTGGGGCGCAAATTTTCTTAGCCAGCATATTGACTTGTGAAGAGAGTGCAAGGTGTAGGCTTCTCTATCATTTATTAAAGAGTTTGCAAGACAAACTCCAAGTAGTGGAATCCTAGTATGGGTATTGGCTAGGAATGGGGGTTTGTTGAACCATACAAATATTAGTGCCTCATTTGCTCAATAATATTGATTTTATTTCTTGAAACTAATTTCCTTATTTATTAATTTTTTTGTGATAACATTTCCAAGTTGTGATTTATTAAAATCATTGTTGTACAATGCTTATGCACGATTAAACTATCTCATTTATGTTTAAATATTATCTCTCTCATTTAGCATTGTAATTATATCATCCTATCATTTATTTAGTTCATTATTCTGGTAACTTTGGATTAAGGAAATAAAAATGATATAGCTTGTGTATTATATGTTTATTAATATAGTTGAGCATGCAAGTTATAGCACTTGCATGCTTAGCTTAATCACATAAACTACACCTTAGTTTACCCTTGTGTTGTGTGTCTTGGATTGTTTCTTTTAGTTTTATATAATTAAACTTCCATATATTAATTTATCAATATTATTTTAAAATTAAATTGATAAAGAATAACTTTTAAAAAGTATCAATTCACACTCCCTCCCTTTCTTGGCATGTCATTCATCTATCAATTAGTATCAGAGAGAAGTGCTCTCAGTTAGAGATGTTAACAATTTCCATCATTAGGTATCTCTACCTTGGCTTTATCATTTGGCTTATCCAATAGGTAAGATTCATAATTGCATATCAAATTGATTTCCTTATGATTTTAATTTGCAACCTATTTTTGATCTAGTTTATTTTGATTTTTTTTTTAAAATAGATATTTAAGATTTATTCTTGGTGCAATCCTATTCATGGTATATTTTTTTTATGCTAATTTTTATATTTTGGATAAAATTAAATTTAATAATTGGAATGATAATTATTTCATATTTTTTAAACTTTCCCACTAGTTGAATGATCTTGCATATATATTGGATATTAAAAATCAATAAAAAAGTTATAGATGCTCACAGATTTGCTTCTATTATCAACTTTGAGACAAGTGAAAGGGATCTTGGAGAAGAAAAAAAAAAAAAAAACCCAAGTTAATTTTAATGCTATTGAACCCAAGTTAGCTTTAGCACCAATCAGGGGCGGATCCAGCTTCTTTTTTCAGGGTGAGCAAAAAAAAAAAAATTATGGGGGATGGGCAAAGATGCTTATGATTGATTAAATGAGGGCAAAAAATTTTTTTAAGAGGGGGCAAAATACCCAAAATACTCAAAATATTCCAAAATATCCCTCTAAAATTAAAAAAAAAAAAATTTGAGGGGGGGGGGCATTTGCCCCCCCTCAACTCAATGGGGATTCGCCCATGGCACCAATGGCCCCCTCCATTGAAATACTTCCACCATCTCATTATTGTTGCTTGACTATTAATATTTATCATATTATTATGTTTTAATTGTTTGCTTATAGACACTTGATCTTTATATTTCGTATAATGAGAGTCAAATAATGATTTTCAATTATGTTTAATTCAATTTTCTTCAATTGCGAGAAAGAATTAATTCTTGCATCTTCTATTATCTAATAAATCTATTCAATTGGACAAAGCCTTATATTTTTTCCTAAACTCTAAACCCTTTATTAAAATACTTAATACACATTTTATCACTATAAATTTTTTAGCAACACTTTACCACTCTAATTTTTTAACATCTAACAATATTATTATCAAATATTTGAGTTGGAATCACTCAAACATCAAAACTTTTTATTAAATATTCCCAAAATAATAGAGTTTTGAGATGTGAGAAGAAACTTTGACTAAGACGATGAAAATGATAGGAGGGGTATTTTTCTTTGCATCTAATTTTTTATTCGAATTAATCACAATGATGTGCACTTTTGTAAGAAAATAGTATATAAATAATTATTATTTATAGACGTGTTGCCCGGTTTGCTCCACTGCAAAAACCGGACAAAAATTCTATAAAGAATTCCATTAATTATAGGAGGATAGATCGCCGTCCATCTGACGAAAATATTCGCGTGGCGATGAGGAATACACAAAGGTTCAAACATAGATAACTATTGCGGGTAATGAAACGCGTGCACGATGCCACGTGGTGCTCCGGCTGCATGAAGAAAAAAGTAACGAAGAGAACGGTGACTTGCTCTTTCGCCTTCCCACTTGGTCGTCTCCCTCGCTTCACCATATGCAGAGAAAGAGAAGAGGAGAAAGTGAGAAGGCTTATCAGTCCTCCCGTCGCCCTTCGTCCACGCTCATTTTATTAGATCTTATGCTCTTCGGTGCTATCTTCGTATCTTAGGTGTGTTCCCCGAAGGAAGAGCTCCCGGGCGAGCCCCGTGCAAGAAGGTTGTGGTTCTCGCAGATCGAGCCCTTTTTTCCTGCTTTTCTCGGCCCTAATGTTTTCATCTTGGTGGGCTTTTTCGGAGAAGTAGCAAACGATATATTGGTCTCAGTTCGGAAATTAGAGTCAAAGCTTTGCTGAGTTTTTGAACCGAACTGCTCCGAATTCGCACCATGATGGACACAACGAAGTTTACAGGAATCATCGCTGGAGGAGGTGGAGCTGGAGGTGGTGGGGGGAACTACTACGATATGGCGTACTATCGGAAGCTCGGAGAGGGCACCAACATGTCGGTGGACAGCATCCAGACTAGCACTGGCGGCGGGTCAGTGGCTATGTCGGTGGGGAACAGTAGCGTCGGGTCGAGCGACTCTCAGACCGGAATACTTCACCATAACGGTCTCCGGCAGACCACCGCCGTTCCTGGTAGCTCCGTTGGTCACAGCGTCTTCCGCGCTGGCCGCGTTACCCATGCCCTAAACAGTGATGCCCTCGCGCAGGCTTTGATGGACCCGCGTTTTTCCACGCAAGGCCTCAACAACTACGATGAGTGGACTCTCGATCTCAGGCAGTTGAACATGGGAGAGCCCTTTGCGCAAGGGGCTTTTGGTAAGCTCTACAGGGGAACTTACAATGGAGAAGACGTAGCAATTAAGCTGTTGGAGAAGCCGGAGAACGATCCTGAGAGAGCTCAGCTTATGGAGCAGCAGTTTGCTCAGGAAGTGATGATGCTTGCAAATCTGAAGCACCCTAATGTGGTTAGGTTCATTGGGGCTTGCAGAAAGCCGATGGTTTGGTGCATTGTGACCGAGTATGCCAAGGGCGGATCAGTTCGACAGTTTCTGATGAGGAGGCAAAACCGTTCTGTGCCTCTGAAAATTGCAGTGAGGCAAGCGCTAGATGTTGCCAGGGGAATGGCTTATGTTCATGGTCTGGGCTTCATTCATCGAGATTTAAAATCTGATAATCTTCTCATTTTTGGGGATAAATCGATTAAAATTGCCGACTTCGGTGTAGCTCGCATTGAAGTGCAGACAGAGGGGATGACACCAGAGACCGGGACCTACCGGTGGATGGCTCCGTAAGTAGATCAAATGTTACTTTTTGGTTATTTGAAGTTTCCTTAGGTGCTATGGTTATAATTGTTTTGCGTTCTTTATTCAGTTAATGAATTTTCTTTTATTTTGGCTGGTGTTTCACATTATTGCGAGCTAACTGGATTTATTCTCACTACGCAAGCTACTTCATGTGTTCTCTACATCATGATTTACATAGCTGGCTAAATTCATAATTTCTTATTCTTCTTTAATTTTAAGCCGTAGGCTAGATCTTTACTTTTTGATTTCTAATTTCAGTTTTTTCACTCTAAATATTTTTGTTTAAACCATTTTGCACCAACTTGCAGCATGCACCATTGGCGCCTTCAATGAAAATAGCAATTTGATGAAGCTTATTTTCAATTTCTATACGAGTTTCTAGATTTATTAGTATTTGCTGTATCCTTCATATTATGGAACTTGAATTCATCTGGGGAACGATATTAATTACGCAAATAGAAGTTGCATAATCATGCTTTCATGGTTTTAATGTCAATTAGGGATTTGTTTTGGATAAGAGATGCTATAATAATGACATGTTTCTTCATTTTGGCAATCTTTTATCTTGGCCACTTGTGTTTCTGATCCTTATGTTGTCAAATGTGGAACTTTCAGTTGGATTTTATTTTTGATCTCTTAATTGCTTGATGAGCGCTGAACTTTGTTATGATTGCATTGTTTGCTTTTTAATATCTCACTCGTTAGGTAATAATTGGTTGAGAATGCTCATGTGCACTGGTTATCATGTACATGTGCTTAGTATAAATGTTATTGCTAATGAGGAAGAGTGTTTAGGCCATCTTCCCAATTTTTTTTTTCTTAAGCAAAAGAATGATTCAAAGCGGTTCTCTCAATAGGGAAAAAAAAAGATTTTGGACATTCTATATAGTTTTTCTCTTTATATCTTTGTTCACTAGTATTAAAGATGTGAATTATGGAGTTTTGAATAGTATTTGAAGTATTTGTGAAGAAACCAAAGAGTTTTTTGCTATGCTAGTTACAGCAAGGATCATCATTAGCTTTGCAACCTTTTGTTTTGTTTATGGAGATACTTATGAAAAATACTCATAATGAGGTACCTTAGTGTATGCTTTTTACAAATCATGTAGTTATAATATACAATTTTTTTATGTGTAATTTTAAGAATTTTCAATCAAATTATTTTAAGATGTGATATCTAGATGCACCCATTAGATGAAGCACACTCCAAGTAGAGGTTGATGTACACAATCTTACTCTTGTATTTTTAAAGAGGCTATTTTCATAAAAATTCTGGGTGTGATAGTCATGCATATCTTGGTTATCTTATGTCAAAGAATATGGTTATAGATGAGGAATAACTTCTAATGTTAAAATCGATGATTAAAATTAAGAAGTGCTTTAGAGTATTATGCAATAAGAGTCGGTCTTCGAGAACTAAAGGGAGTTTTACAACTCGAATGTTGGATATACTATATGAATTTGGGTGTTGTATAGTAAAATGTTGCTAAGAAGTAAGCTGGCATTGTAGAAATGAGAATGTTAAGATGCATGTGGGACAATATTAGGATGTATAAGTTTATGAATACTAATATTATATGGATGTTGGGATAAGCATTTTGTAGAAGATAAGCTAGTGAAAAAATATGCTTGGGTGGTTTGAACATCTACACAAAGGAGGGTAAAAAGTACACCCATAAGATGCGTAAGATAAAGTTATTGTTGAAGGATTTGAAAATGAAATGGGTAGACTAAATTAGTATGATTAGAAGTTGTGCACAAAGATATGCATAGAATAAGTTGAATCCCCGTGTAAAAAGTGGCAGGAATGAATGAAAATGGTTGGGATAAGACTAATGATGTTGATCTATCTTTTCTTTCACTTTTCATGCAGGTTTATGCCTGTTTGTTTGTGGCATGTCCATAGAAAAAATGCAAGCTTGTTTTTTGTTTTTCTTGGGGGCTTTTTAAAGCTGATCATGGTTGCATTACTTGTCTTTATTTTTTGTTTGTAAGGGGCCTGAAAACGAACAATTCAGTTTCAGTGCAGCTTCAATTTACTAGTTTTTTACAATGTATTCATCTTTCTAGAATTATCATAATTATGTATGCAATGTTCTATGTTAGAATTTTAAGCATTAATTGTAGATCATAAAATTTGCCGACTTCTAACAAAATTCTAATCTCATTAACTTTTGACTAGCCTCAGCCTTAGACTTTGATTTTGAGTTTCTTTGCTCTACCTAACTCTGATAGTAAATATTTCAATGCTCATGCGCCTTTCAATTCTAAAGTTGGCTGTTCCTGCATTTGGGAAGCTGCATGCCTCTGCTAACAATTTTCATATGATCCAATGATTTTTAGATGTTCATGTTCTGAACTTACAGAGCTCTTTGAATTCAGAATTGGCATATATATATATATATATATTTTGAATTCACAGAAGTTGTATTCAAAGCAGTTTGACGTTGTATTTTTTCATCGCCTCAAATAGGAAGAAACTAGGTTTTTTTTTAAAATGCTGGACTACCGTGAGTTTTGGAAGTCTATTGCGGTTAAAAAAAACTAATACAATGGTTGTATTTTTAATATTTTAATAGTGGCGACCCAATAACAAAGTTTAGGAGTATTGTATCGTTCTTACCTTGTTTTTGTTGATTTTTCACATATCCTGAACGGAGGAATGTGATAGATTTCCTTAGCTTCTACTTTACTTTGCGTTTGATTGAACTAAAACAATAGTTAACTAAACTGCTTGCTTTTATGATTAGGATTCATGACTTAGTTTTATTGTTTATTAGGAGTATCTTGCTGCTCCTTAGCATTCTTAATCTCATTTTCTACTCAGCATTCTAAATCTCATTTCTAGGACTAAACGCTTGAAATTGCAGGTTACAATGTTGTTTCTTGAATGTGCAAAGAAACAACAAGCAATATGAAAAAAATAGTGGTGGTCGGAAGGTTGCTGCTAGTAGATAAGAGGAATGATGTGCATATGAAGTGCTTTCAAACAAGGATAGTGCTTAAGATGATCCATGAGCCTCTAAAAAATACTACGAAATCGACCTGAAAATGACTGTTTTGCATGTATGAATTGAGTGATAACTTAACTGCAAAATTATAATTTTAAATTCTGAAAGTGCGGCCAAGTCAAGGATCAGCCTTAAGTCCATATATTTTTGCTTTAGTCATGGATGTTCTTACTAGACATTTGCAAGAGGATGTACCTTGGTGTATGCTTTTTGCTGATGATATTCTTCTTGTTGATAAGACTAGAGAGGAAGTTGAAGGTAAACTTAAATTATGGAGGTCAACCATAGAGTCTAAAGGTTTTTGCTTGAGTAGATCTAAAACTGAATATATGGAGTGTAATTTTAGTAGCAATAGACCTAGTGAGGGGATTGTGACTTTGGGCGATCAAGTCATTAATAAGAGTACACGTTTTAGATATGTTGGATCTATTGTTCAGAGTGATGGTGAAATAGATGGGGATATTATCAGCAAAATTCAAGTTGGATGATTGAAGTGGAGGAATGCATCAGGCTTGTTGTCTAAACTTAAGGGAAAATTTTATAAGATGGTGGTGAGACCCGCAATGCTTTATGGTGCCGAATGTTGGCCATTAAAAGAGAAGCATAATAGTAAGTTAAGTTAACTTAAGTGTTGAGTTGAAAAACTTTATTAAAAAGAAAAAAAAATACTAAGTGTTACAAAGATGAGGATACTTAGGTGGATGAGTGGCTTTACCCTTAGTGATATGATACGAAATGAGCATATACGTGAAAAGGTTGGAGTAGCTCCAGTGGCAGATAAGATTAGAGAGAGTCTCCTTAAGATGGTTTGGCCACATTAAACCGAGGCCATTCGATGTCCTTGTTAAGAAAGTTGAGGTATTAGATTTGACTTATGTTAAGAAAGGTAGAGGTAGACCTAAAAAGACTTGGTTAGAAAATATCAGAAATGACCTTTCTTTATTAGATTTAAATGAGAATTTGACTTTCAGCAGGACACAATGGCGAAAAAGGATTCATGTAGTTGACCCCACGTAGTGAGTCAAAGGCTTGATGTTGTTGTTGTTGAAAGTGCGGCCAAGGAAGGAATTATGAAGAGATTCAGCCAGAGAGAATCAATATAACTAATCTATTTTGACTCCACCTATTTCACCATCTTATTTTAAAGGATGACCAATTTAAAGAGAGTATCTATGAATTAATTGGTTTCTTTTAGGTTAGTCTCTATTTCATGCCTATTTTAAATTTAAATAGATTTCTAGACATTTTTATGATCTCTATAAATGAAAATTTTAAGGAGATCATGTGTGTAATATGAAACTAAGTGGGATTGAGTGGGATCTTATTTTCCTCACTCAAAATTTCCACCAGTTTTAATTTCCATCTCTCTCTCTCTCTCTCTCTCTCTCTCTCTCTCTTCTCTCTCTCCCACTTTGTTTATATGCAATCCAAATATTGTAGCAACCACTCCAATTCTAGTGGCCGGAGTTTAATCTACAATAGTCATAACTCTTACAAGGGCCCAACTGAACTTCACGTGCTGTAGCCGTAGGGTCAATCCAGTGCACATTTAGTTGCTAGAAAGCTAACCCACCTAATCTATAATTGATGTTTGCTCCCAGTGTTGTTAAAAAAAAAAATTTAGTCACCCATGAAGCATAGAAACAACAATTCACAGGCTTGGCGATAAGAGATAATTGCAGAAAGGAGAATACTATGCCATGGACATGTTATATTTTTCTAAATTATTAATGTAAAAAATAAAATTACTAGCAAAAGAATAATATCACTAGCTCAAAGATGAAGAATTTACTTGATATTGAAATACAAAAATATGAACTTATTATTAGATCATAAACAATGAGAAAATCTTGCTATGATTAAATCCTAAATTTAGTCACTGGATGCTTCAACAAAATCTTATTGTAAAAGAGTAAAATTCTAAAGAACTAATGTTAAAAAAATAACTCACGGGATTTGTATTTGAAGTCAAA